GCCCATTTCTATTTTTTTTAATAGCTTCAGTTCTTTTTGTTGAAGAATCCTTTCTTTTCCTGCATATCTCTCTGATGCCTTGCCATTCTTTATTTAAGTGAAAGTCTCCAAATTTGTTGATTGTTCTCTTGAAATCCTTTTCTATTAGCTTCTCCAATACTGTGTCATAAAACGTAGATTTAGTTCCATCCATTGTATTTTTTCCTATTTTCTTTTGAGTTGCACTTTATTTTGCATGTCTTTTCATCTTCATTGTGTAATATTGTGGGTTTTTTTTTTTTTTTTTTGGGCATCCTCCTTGTTTATCAACTCGTTGTGACTGAGAGGAAAGAAGTTGGGACCACAGGTGCCTCAAGAAAGTGCTCAAAGTCTTGGGTGGGCAAGAAATATTAAGCTTGAAGCTTGTATCACTGTTTCTTTCTGTAATCAGACCAAGTTCTTTTTTAGTATTGTTTGAGTCCACAATTTGCCCCAAATTTCCCTCCTTCTTTCCTCAGAAGAGAGAAGTGTTCTTTCATTGTTTGCACTATAATGTGACCAACACTCTGGATTTGACAGTCTTCCTGTGGAAGCATTATGATATGTTATTCTAACTGTGAAGGTCCCCAGCTATTGGCAGATTTTTTAGTTGCAGTTGAATAAATAACTTGCAGATAACTATTCACTTTACCCTCCAATGGTTATTCTGTTTTCTTTATTGATTGTGTGTTGTGGAGAAATGGGGTGAGGCTGGAGATATGGGGATGAAAGGATTCAGTGGATACAGAGTGAGAACAAAAAATACTGATTTATTGCAATGCACTTCAAGGGAGCAGGGGGTAATGTAGGAGAAATCTGTACTGGGAGAGGGTTTTCAGGCTGTTATACTCCTGATATCAGTGATTAGCTAAAATATCTGGCCTTGGGCATGTGCTGACTCATGTTCCAGAGTATCAGTTGAATATCAGTTTCCATGGCAGTCCTATCTACTTCCCTTATCGATTCAAGCCCCACAACTTGTGTTCTAGGCAAGTAGTGATGCCTGGTTTTTAACCATAGTAATGATACTAACACAATTTGCAATATTTCTCTCTATATACTGGATTCAAATCTTGTGTTTTATATATCACTATCTTTCAACTTTGCTTTTTGCATCTTTTATTGTTCATATATTTTACATTTCAGATGTGTTGAAATGTATCTATTGTAACAGTTAAGTTTACCGCATCTTTGCATTTTAGTATCCCTCACTAGGAATGAATTTCTTGAGAGCAGCTATGTTTTATTCATTGTGTTTTATTTTTTTATTTGCAAGAAGGGCCTGTATTATTGAAATTTTTCCATTCATTATTTGTAACATTGGCACTCTCAACCCAAATTGTTGAGAATGGACCACAGAATCAACATATAAGTAAAGAAATATGATTGAAAAACCCGTAAGTCTGGGAGTCCTGTTTTATATCATTTGAAGTGAAAACCTCTCTCTGTCACCTTAATTGTTACACTTCAATGCTATACCAGCTTTTTATGATCACAGTGAATCTCAAGTAATTTCAGCCTTCTACTTTTTCACCCAGTGTCTCCAAATAAGTGAAATATCACAAAGAAAAGTCTCCAGGTAAGGCAAGTTTTCACATCTTTACCAGGGCTAGAATTTGCTCTGAGGCTGTTTTAGAGTTTAATGCTGATTGAATACACTCCTTTTCCATCTTCTTTCTTAAGAAAAAGTAAAATAAAATTGTGAGAATAGTGATGAGAACAAGAACCTAGTCGATTTAGTCTGCATCCCAAAACTCTTGTGAGGTCATTTGAGGGAACATACAAAGGCACACAGAGTCTTCATGGAGACCCAGTCTTGGACATGAATAAATACATTTCCAAGAATGGGAAGGGCCTCATGTGATCAAACAGCAAATGATTATATTTAAGATAGTTAATTGTCCTAGCGGTTTCATCATAAATTTACCTAGCTAACGTAAAAAAAAAGTGCTCACGAGGAAACATACGACAGAGACAAATTCAAGTTGCTAGCAAAGGTTTCTAAATTTTAAAATATTTTATTAAAGAAATGTATAATAATTAAACATAACAAGATTGCTTAGTACCCAGGCACACATGCTGCCCTCAATGCTACAGAGTTAGAGCTTTATTGGGTCAGAACAGAGCAACCTTTCATTCACCATATTACTGAGGCAATTCTTGAGTATAACAGGTTTGTATATGAAAAATTGCTTATGATCTTAGATTCAAAGTCATGTCTCTGGAGCAAGAACTATTATAAAATAGAAGGAAAATGTCTTGCTGTAAACACTGAGCTAATGACACAAACTTAAGAGTTATAAACACTAAAACTTAACATATTCTTCTATAACCTCTTTAAACATAATAACAAAGCAAAGGAAATCAATCAATTCCTTCAATGCATGCTCTTCCCTCATACCCCCAAAACAGTCAGTTGCTGGCACTATTCTGCTATGGACCGCTATTAAAAAAACAGTGATGGATAACACTATGGATACTGTTCCTCTTTTACGCAGGAATACAATGAAAACAGTACTGTATATAACATAGTTATAAAGCAATGACCAACACAACTACTTGTATGGACTCTGGGAAACACTTACTGAAAGGAAAGAAAAGCTTCTTAATAGTTAACATAATAGTGTTTCCCTGCCCATCACTCACCACCAAAAGAAAAAATGGGATGTGAAACCAGTTTTTCAATCAAAGAATTATACTGTCACTGGTATAAATTCTAAATTATATCCCACTCCCACCCAAACTACCCAATCCCATTTTCTCTCTACCTACAATGTTCAGAGGATAGTAAGTGCAGAAAGACAAATGTAGTTGGTAAAGTTGAACTGACTGAAATTTGAAGGGCACTGTGTATTGCTTTTGTGCTTTTGACAAGGTGACATGTAATGTGATACAGGTAGAGTAAAGGAAGGGGAAAGATAATTTTTTTAGGGTTATTTCCTAACTATTGCTTTGGGCCCCAAAACACTTTGAATTTTGAAATGGAAGGAAATCTATAATTAGTAATGAAGAGAATGTAGGGAAATTAAGAGCAAGAAAAGAAATAATTTTGCTCCCAGTGACCATTCTTCAATTATTCTCTACAGTGTTCTGTTACTGGCTCAAATTTAGCTCTTTATCATCCAGGAAGCCTATTCATCTCCTTCTGCTAGGCTAAATATAAGGTACTATAATTATTATAGTGATGTTCATTACATATTGTCGTTGATTTAAAAATTTCTCATTTATGTCAACATCCATTAATGAGAATCCTCACAACATTCCTGTGAGGTAGATATTGGATCCTCATTTTACAGAAGGCTTAACTGAGGCACAGAGAAGTGATGTGACTTACCTAACATTAACCAAGTGAGATATTGGGGAAAATATGGAAGAGAAGCAAGTTAGGGTAACCCCTATTGTAAGAGTGCCATATTCACCAGTGAGATAATATAGTGTTCTTTAAATTGGGCATACCCAGTTTGTTCTCTGTACATCTCTATATACACAGCACATTGTGCAGTATAAATAATTTCCTTTAGCTTATTCAAGGTTAGATTAACTTCCTATTGTTTGATTATTGAGAAAACTTTTCTGAAGGGCAGGAAAGACCCAAGTTCCTGGAACAAATCATGGGAATCATAAATTCCCAAATTTTGTATATGACTTTGTTTCAAGTAGGTTTTGGAGTTCTAAAAATGTAATATTGTGTACAAATACATAGTTCTTTAGTTTAAAAAAGTTGTTTCCCATAGGTATATGGGCAAATAATTCAGATACTACTAATTATTAATGTGTATACCTATGGAAAAATGTGAAAGCCAGCTTCTCACTGTTGGAGTGGGAGGTTACATACAAGCAAAGGAAAACATTAAAAGGATCCATGAGGTAAAACAATCTGAGTTGCAGACATTAGTATGAACTCATGTTTAGTTTTATAGGTATATAGATGATTGTATGTAGAACTGTTTGTAGATATGTGTATATACCTGAGTTAGCGTATATACTACCTAGAGCATATACACATATTTCATTGGTTTGTCAGAGGAAATGTACTGAAAATAATATTGCAGTAGCAACAAGTATACCAAGTTATCCACTGCTGGTTTCTAATACAATTCTTCATTAAAAGGAACCAGTGCTCCTTAAAGAAAAGGCCAACTATAAGAGTGCATCAAGAAGTCTACGAGATGATCCTGGATCATCTTGCAGTGACATAAAGTACATGCTTTAAAAATACTGGTGTATTTCAAAAGCTTTGGGAGTAAACCAAAAGAAAAATAAATATTAGGTAAACACCAAGGAATTCCCAATTACCTAAGCTGGAATAATTTGCACACAAAAAATAAAGCTTTATTGATTATAACTCAAATTATAAAATAAATATCATGGTCCTTTAAATTATTGCATAAACAAATAAATGAAGGAAAAGAAATAAATTTCCCATGCAGAAAATTTCCTCCAAATTTAAATAGATACCTTCAAGGACATGTGCATAACTCACTTTTTAACTGTGTACAGAACAATTTACTTTCAAATAGTATAGTATACAAGGGGGAAAAAGTATAGGAGAGAAATATGTCATACACTATCCCAATGGATCAAGCAGTTAGCATCATGACCAATACAATGTGATTAAAATAAAAAAAATTTCTTCTCTGGTCTTTCAGTTCCAAACCCATAACTTCAGTTTAATCATAAGAAAAACAGACAAATCTCAATTAATGTGCACATTTTTCAAAACTTTCAAGGTTACAGGAAACAAGAAAAGTCTGATAAAATGTAACAGGAAAATCCTAAGGAGACAGAATACTAAATGTAATGTGTACCTTGCATGAAATCTGGAAGAGAAAAATAATATTAGGTAAAAACCAAGGAATTCTGAATAAAATTTATACTTTAGTTTATGAGAATATATTGTTATTACTTCATTAATTGTAACAAATACACCATATTAATGTAATGTTAATAAAAAGAAAAAATACATGAGGGGTATACACAAACTCTGTTTTAGCTTTGAATTATTTCTGTAAATTTAGAACTATTCTAAAATTTTTAAAGTTTATTTAAAAAGTAGTCTCACAAACCTTTCCTTCTTACTCATAATGGACTCCATCAAATATACCCACCAGTTCACACTCTTTACAGTTTTCTCTAAAACTTGCAATTATAACCATCATAGCTATTCTCAACTACTAATCATCTACAGGTAGAGAAATTTCTCTGTAACCAACACCAGGATATTATTCAACTTTAGCTAACAAGGCTTTTTCTATGCCTGAGGCAACTCTCCACATAATGAGGCTTTGCTGATGTGAACAGATAAATTAAAATAAGTACAAAACAATATGAAAGAGATAATTTTAGGTCCTTTGAATCTCAGCGTCTGTATAGCAAAATTCTATGTGATTCCGCACTATTTGTAAGTTCTACTATATTTGAATCACTATGCTTTATGACATAATCTTAGTATTTTGACATATTTATTAAAGAATTTAGAAATAATTGGAATCTGAATTTGGAATCCTGACTTGGAATCCTAATATTATTATCCTAGTTAGTACAATAGTATGTTTGATAGCCTTTATTTATAAATAAATCATAGGCTACAATGCAAATATTCTGAGGTCTGAGAAGCAGATTTCATTTATAAACTGAAAAAGGAGTTTCAGAATTCAAACTTTAGAGAAAATTAGTAAGCTCTGGTACTCTACTGTAAAATCTTGTATCAGCCATTCAATTATTAGCGTAAATCAATGTATGATGGCAATTTACCATTAACAATATCTTGCTATCAAAAGAAACAGGAATAATTTAAGCTATATAAAATTGCCCTTGACAGATTAATCTTACATATTTTCTAGTGGTTTAGCAATTATTCTAGAGTGTGGAAGTTCTACACCAAAAATTTGAGACTATCCCACTGCAAAATAACAATGATAATGGCAAAATTCCACATATCATTTTAAAAGATTTGGAAAGACCATGAATTATTGGGAGTTTATGGCCTGGAAAGACATTGCTAAATTGAAATGAGGTTGGTGAGGTTTGAGATAACATAAGAAAGTGTTATAGTAAAGAAAGTGCATGCTCAATGGCATATATCAATCACAAGTGTGTTTTATTCACTAAAGTTTTCTGAAGCTTAAAATATAAAGTTGGATAAATGTTGCAGCCAATCAAGTGAAAAAATATTTGGTTTTAAAATGAAAATGTGGTCTCTGGGAGACTGCGTGTGCAAGTTTATAAGGCCTCAATGAAATACCTGGGGAATGTTCATTGTAACATAATTGAATGGGAAGAATCTGACACATATTTGTTGCATCGATAAAATATGAATGATAGATAGGATTAGATGGAATCTTTTCTTAATGCTAGAATTTTATGAATTAGTCAGAATATATTTATTTGGGAGGAAGTAATCTAAATTATTCAAGCAGCAACTTGCAGAATGTCTTCCAAGGAATAGAGGATTCAACATGAAAACAAATTTTAAAAGAGGTTGAATCCAAAATTATGTTTTGAAACTCTCATTCACACCCATCCACTTCCTTCCCCCCATTACACACAACCTCTCCAGAGAGGAAATATGTCATGTGGACGTAGATCTGAAGTTCAGGCCTGGAACAAAGAGCTTATTATGGTCCAGAGACTATTTGAAACAGTCTGATTAACCAAATGTATATATTAAACAATATGTCATTAATGGCTAAAAGAATGGCTTAGGTGTTCATATCAGTTGCAGACCATCAAATTGTTTTTTATATTTCAGTTTTCCCTGGAAGCCTCTTATATTCCATTTGAAATACCAGGCTGCATGCTAATAATAATGACACAGAATGAAAAGATTTGTTATCCAAACTTTCACCTCTGTAGAACACGACCTCAGTGTATGCTTTCTCATCATGCAATAACATGTAACAACTGTTTTATAGAAACAAAAGAATAAAAAGTACAGTGCAGTCTTTGAAGACACTGTCTCAACAGACTGCCATTTGAAAGAGGTTTGTGATTACAGCACTTCTGATATACTATCCAATGTTACACTCCTTTGTTTTCAGGATGATCCTGGGTCTATTCCTTGTCTCCTAGAACACTTTTCTCCTTACTGGGATGACTGTGTGTGTTTTGAATATTTTTTCAAATTCATTTTAACAAAGCATGTGATTGTGTCACAAAGTCTTTAATCCTGAAAGAGAATGAGGAAGACAATGAGGACAAGGACCCCTTCACCCCTTTCCATGGAATTCAGCAGAGGCACCAGCACTGCCTGAAAACCAAACAGTAAAAACAAATAAGATTGTATTTACAGAACCTTTGAGTTTGGTATGGAATTCAGCTTACTTTGAGAATATGCCCTACAATTAGGACACAAATTCCTGCAAATCTTTCAACTTGCTAGATTGTTATGTGCTCTTCTACTGAGATTTTGAGAAAACAGTATCTTAGTACACTACCATTCACTTTTCAGTATGGATTCAAAATATATGGATAAGAATTATAGAAAACAAGAGAAAAATATTAGGGAAAAGCAGCTTATTTGTTCACAGCCTTGAGTTGATTCCTGTTTTGCTATGGTAGGACAATGTCTTATCTCCGAGCAGGAAGACCAGAAGTTAAGGGTAAGGGGGCAACCATTGGTGCCACAGTGGAATTCAACCCATATAGAGGTTGAAAAAATTGGGGACTGGTCAGTGGAGAGGTGAAGGTGGAATATGAGGTCTCCTCTATGGGATTCCAGCTATCTCTTCCTCCAGCTTCATCAACCTAGTTCAGTGAGCTGCTCCAACCCTAGCACAGAGGCAAGGATGCTCATGACCTCAGCATACACACAAGAAAGAGAACAGGGCAGTTCTTCCAGTGCAGTTGTATTGCTCACATAGCGTCATGGCGACGGCGGTGCAGGGAAAGGTGGTCAGAGCGAGAAAAGCTACGGTTGCAGTCTGTGCACCGGAAGGGCTTGATGCCTGTGTGCTTGCGGAAATGGCGGGTGAGCTCATCTGAGCGAGCAAATTTCCAGGAGCAGCCATCCCAGGTGCATTTATAAGGTTTTTCTCCTAAAAAGGGAATATGACAAAACAAAGGGAGTCAAGAAGAGAGGTTTGTATACTGGAAAGTTTACTGATGCATAATCTGTTAAAGAGGCTTTGGTCTAAACGTGATGGAATTACTTTATATTCATGTTCCTAATCGCTTTTCCAGGAGTCTCAAAGATAAGCTAAATGCCCACCCAGACTGTTAGAACCCAAGACGCTAGACTGGCACTAGGGGTGATACCACAGTGGCCCCAGGATTCCAAAGTTTTCTAAGAGACTCTGCCAGCATCAGTCCAGACCCTAAGACCCAGGACTCCCACCCAGAGAGCTTCCATTTAAGCCAGAGTCCTTGCAACTTTCTGTGAGACTCAGCCAGCCCATGCTTAGATAAAAGCACAAAAGACCTAAGTCAGGGGAGGTGCCAGATAGTTCCAGGCCATGAAACTTCCCAAGAGATTCTGCCAGCATCCAACCAGATTGGTAAGACTACGCCTATCAGTGAAAGAGGAGGGACACACATAGAAAGCCCTACCTACAGCATTGGGTCTCAAAGCAAATAATGGAAAAAAGGAAAACCCCAGTAAATGGACATGAGTCTTCAGGGAAATAATACAACAAATTTCCAGAACAAAGCTTCATAGACATGGCAGATAAGTACTTCCTATCAGGTACAGAGTTTAAAATTGTCATGCTAAAGAAATTTGAAGAAATGAAAGAAGGCTCAGAAAACCAAATGAAAGTTCTTAGAAATAAAATCAATGAACTGAAGATAGAAAATTAAGTTCTCAACAACATAGCAATGGAGTTTGAGGATATAAAAAGAGAAATACAGTAAAAAGAAATACAGATGAAATATTGAGGAGAATATTATGGAAGAATAGATCCATTCTAATAATCAGTGTACTTTAAGATGCAAATGTTCAAGTAATTTGTGTAAAAAAAGGACAAGAAAGTTAAAAAACACATTGGAATTATCTGACTTCATGTGGAAAGATAATACAAGAATAATGGGAATGTCATAGTGAGGATACAGAGAGAAAGGAACAGAAAATATATTCAAAGAAATTATCAAGAAAACTCCAAAACCTAAAGAAGTGAGTAAATGTACAAATCCAGGAAGATAAAAGAACACTTAAACAAAATAAGTCCTACAACAAGACAGAATAAATAGTGAAACTTCCACAAGTTAAAGACAAAGAAAGCATATTGAAGATGGAAAGGGGGAAGGAGCAGACAACATAAAAACAAACAAACAAAAGTACTAATGGAAATAACATATACTTCTCCGAAGAAATACCATTTTCAAGGAGAAAATGGAATAATGTATTCCAAATACTTAAAGGTAAAAACTGCCAGTCAAGAACACTCTAACCTGAAAGCATCTCCTTTTTCTTAAGATTTATTTATTTATTTATGCACACAGAGCTGGAATACATGGCAGAGGTGCAGGGGCGGTGAGAAGATTCACCAGAAACAGAGTAGGGAGCAGAACATGCAGACTGGTGAAGTACACTGCTGAGGGGAGCAGCAGGTGGGTCAGGAGAGGTCTGCCACGCCATGTGGTCATCTCCAGGGTGGGGATAGAACACATGCTGAAGTGTCTTTAGCTTCTTAGTGCTGTGTTTTAACCCACTGTGCCACCAGCGAGGGCCTGGATCTCCTTTTTATAATGGGGAAAAATAAAGTCCTTTTCAGACATAGAGAAACTCAAGGAGTTTGTAAAAGATAGACAACCATTCAAAGAGATAGTGAAAGGACATTATAGATCTAAACCAAAGAGAGAAAAATACACAAAAAAAGTGAATAAGGAAGTAGCTTGAATCACAAAAATTAAGAAAATGGCAGGAATAGATTTTCACATGCCAATAATAACTCTGTAAATTCATCAAAGTGATCACTTAAAAGATACAGGGTATCTGGTTGGATCAGGAACTAAAATTCGATTTTTTGTTGTCTACAGCAGACATACCTAAACTCCAAAAAACAAACATAAAGGCCCAGAGAACAATCCAAATGAGTGGGACCCAAAAGAAGGCAGAGATAGCCATACTAATATCAGACACAATAGATTTTCAGTTAAAAAAATTAACAGAAGACAGGTAAGGATACTATTTAATGATTAAATGAATGATACATCAGGAAGACAACTCTAATTAAAATATAATCACTAAGTGTTGGGTTATGAAAATACATTAAGCAACTACTATCGATTGTGAAAGCAGACCTTGGATAAGACACAGTTGTATAAGAGATTTTCACATACCACTCTTAACCAAGGGACAGATCAATTAAAAAGTAAACAAACAAAAAAAAGAATTAAAATGCATGGACATAAAAGATATTTCAGAGCACTACACTTCCTAAAAGCCAAACACAAATTTTTCTCAAGGGCATATTGGACATTCTCTGGAATAGACCACATTCTGGGACATAAAACAAAGATCAACAAATTCACAAAGATTGAAACCCCTTTGATTGTAAGGGAATCAACCAATGAAATAAACTATCAAAAGAAAGCTGGGGAATCCTATGAATTGAACAACATATTACTGAAAGAACACTGAATTAATGAAAAAACGAAAGTGGAAAATAATACCTTGAGGCAAATGATAATGAAGACTCAATTTTCCAAAACACATAGGATGCAGCAAAAGTAGTACTAGAAGAAAATATATTGCAATCGAGACTCACAATAAGAAAAAAGTGCTCAAATAAATTTCTCTCTCTACATCAGAAATTAAAGAAGAAACAAATCTAAAGCCAGTAGTAGAACATAAAAAATAAAAATGAAAGCATAAATTAATAAAATAGATATTAAAAGGACAGAAAAATATTACTGGAAACCAAAAGCTGCTTCACTTCATTGGAAAAATAACAAAATAGACAAACTCTAGCAAGGCTCACTCAGAAAATATGTTAGACATTTCAAATAAACAAGACCAAATTCAGACAAGGAGATATTACAACAGATCTGCAAAAATTTAGAGGATAACTAGAAACTACAATAAACAAATGAAGAAAAATAAGTAGAATTATGCAATCACCTAAAATAAAATACAGAACAAACATTGATGGAAGCACAAAAATCTCTAATAGAAAAACCTCCCCTGACTACAAAGAGGAAGAATGTAGGCATTACACTCCCAGAATCCAAGCAATACTATAAAACCATTATAATAAAGACAGCATGATATTAGGACAAAAACAAAATAAAATTAAAAGCCCAGAAATAAAACCACACATATATGGTCAAATAATCTTAAACAAAGAAGCAACATACCCTGGAACAAGAAAAGCCTCTCCAACAAATGGTTTTGGGGAAAACTGGAATATGCAACTTAGAAAAAAAAAAAGAGAGAGAGAGAAAGAAAAAAGAAAGAAACTATCTTATAATCTTATACCATACACAAAAATCAATTCAGTGTGAATTAAAGAATGGAATGTAAGACCTGACACCATACAATATAAAAAAGAAAACAGGCAAAACACTCTATGGTGTAAATCTCAGAATATCTTTGAGGATTATTCTTGCAAAGCAAGAAATACAAAGGAGAACATAAACAGTTGGTACTACAACAAACTAAAATGCTTTTGTACATCAAAAGTGATCTTAACCAAAACAAAGAGTTATGGTGAATGGAAGAAAATATTTGCATACCATATGACAAATAAAAAACTGATATCAAAGATGGACAAAGAACATACACAACTCAATAAAAATAAAACACAGGCCCTCCCAGGTGGCGCAGCGGGTTAAAGCACTGCACTGAGAAACTAAAGCCACTTCCGCATGAGTTCGATCCCCGCCTGCCCCGGAGGTGACCACATGGCGTGGCAGACCTCTCCTGACCCGCCCACTGCTCCCCTCAGCAGTGTACTTCGTTGATCTGCCTGTTCTGCTCCCCACTCTGTCTCTGGTGAATCCTCTCACCCTCCGCATCTCTGGCCTGTACCCCAGTTCTGTATGAATAAATAAATAAATCTTAAAAAAAAATAAAACACAAAACTCTTGTCAAAAAATGGACAAAAAAAAAAGATAGTTCCTCAAAGAAAACCAAATGACCAATAGATATATTAAAAAGGTATTCAACATCACTACTTATTAGGGAAATGTAAATCAAAAACCTCAATGAGATACCTCATTGTAGCCCACATTAAAAAAAAAAAAAAGAAAAAGGAAAAGGAAAAAAAAGGAAACAACAAATTGTTGAGTGCATGTAATTAGTCCAGCCACTATGGAAAGCGGTGTGGAGGTTTCTCAGAACAACAAAAATGGATCTACCATATGATCTAGCAATTCCACTCCTAAGAATCTTTCCAAGGGACACAAAAACACTAATTCAAAAGGAAGCCTGTACTTCTATGTGTATATCAGCACTGTTTACAATAACTAAGATATAGAAACATTTCGAATGTCTCAAAATACAGAAATGGATTGAAAAGTTGTGGAATAGTACTCAGTGATCAAAAAATACAAACTCATGCCATTTGCAGCAACATGTAAGGAGCTGGATTATGTTGACAAAATTAGCAGAAGGAAAAAGAAAAATATGCCTCCCTTATATGTGGAATATAAAGAAATCAAGTGAAAGGTCAAGAATAAGTCAAAACTAGCAAGCTGACCATACAACTAAGGCATACAGCAAAGGGAGGGGGCAAGCAAAACAGGGATGGAATAAACACAAGGCAATATAGTTATGTCTCATGAGTGATATGGTGGTGGAACTATGGGGACTACAATGACATAAGAAAAATTATTTAATAAAAATTAATTGAGGCAATCAGGAAGATGGCAGCAGAGTGAAGATGCTGCAATCACTACATCCAAGCTCACATAGGAATATGACTAAAAACGGACTGTAGCCTTACATACTACAAGTTTGAACCCAAATGAGAGCACCCTGGACTCACTAGAAGGAAGATAAATGAGGGCGACTCAGTGATTGTGGAGATCTGATAGGGGTGCTTCGATCTGGAAGCACCCAGGTGCTAGGAAGTGCCTCAGAAGGGAAGCTTGCTGC